GGAAGGGCAAGAAAACACACGAATATGGCATATTCGTGTGTTTTCTTGCCTTTCCCTTCGTTGTTCCTGTTGCTAAGGCATGAACAACGAAGGGAAGAACAAGGAGACACGCGAATATGTCGAAGGACTTTTCGTTTTACCGCTTCTTCGTGTGTTTTCTTGTTCTTTTCTTCGTTGTTCCTGTTGCAAGTTCTTCGACATGAATTCCACACATGACCCCAAGGACATGTTTCTCTACAGTTTATCACGTTTTCTTAGACGTGATATTCGCCGAGTGATATCATATCAAAATGACATTTTTTTTCCATAAGCCTATCTGAAATTAGTGCAGGTCTTTATGCAAATAAAAAGTGTAAGAGTATACAAACTCAGAGCAAAACCGCCTTTAGTCTAGAGTACATATGGCCGAGAAGCCTAATCCAGACTCCACTGATATTCATGTTTAAACCAAAGCTTTACTTGCTTAGATCGGAAAAGCGGCTAGAACATTACTTGTTTAGACCAGAGACCAGAACCCTGCACGCATAGACCAAAGACCGGAACATTACTCACATAGACCAAACACCAGAACCTTACTCCCATAGACTAGAGACCAGACCCTTACTCGCATAGACCAAAGACCAGACCCTCATTCGCTTAGACCAGAGACCAGACTCTTACTCGCATAGACCAAAGACCAGAAGCTTACTTGCACAGACCAAAGACCAGACCCTAACTCGCAGAGACCAAAGACTAGATCCTCACTCGCTTAGACCAAAGACCAGAACCCAATTCGTTTAGACCAGAGACCAGAACCTTACTCGCTTAAACCAAAGACCAAAAGCTTACTTACACAGACCAAAGACCAGACCCTCACTCGCTCAGACCAAAGACCAGACCCCTACAAATATAGACCAAAGCCTACCTGTGGGGCGGGTGATGGGGTCGCCGTCGCTCTTGTAGAAGTAGACACCTTCTGCAGGAGTTCTGTAGGAGCAACGACAACTGTTACTCGCCACTCCTAAGCTCTCATCCCATCCACCACCTCTGCCGTGACCACTAAGCCCTTATCCACTTATCCCTGTACTATATTCACGTCTGAATTCGACCCCCGAGTTCACCTATTTCGCTACCCCTGTTCGTGCTTTATATTCAGGACCGCATCCCAAATTTAATTCATGTGTGTGTGTGTTGTTTGTTTGTATGTGTGTGTGTGTGTGTGTGTGTAAGAGAGAGAACGAGAGAGAGAAGAGAGAGAGGAGAGAGAGAGAAGAGAGAGAGAGAGAGAGAGAGAGAGAGAGAGAGAGAAGAGAGAGAGAGAGAGAGAGAGAAGAGAGAGAAAGAATGAATGAGACAGAGAGAGATAGACAGAGAAAGATAGGGAGAGAGAGAGAAAGTGTGTGTGTGTGTGTGTGTGTGTGTGTGTGTGTGTGTGTGTGTGTGTGTGTGTGGTGTGTGTGTGTGTGTGTGTGTGTGTGTGTGTGTGTGTGTGTGTGTGTGTGTGTGTGTGTGTGTGTGTGTGTGTGTGTGTGTGTGTACCCATGTATATTGGTGAAGGGCGCCTGTATACATGCACAGACCTCCATTGAAGGCTACGTACCTTTGCCATCCGCCCCCCTTGCCTCCTCGGTGTTCGACGCGGCCAAGTAAGGGGGCTTGTTACTGATGGCCACCGTCACGGCTGCTGTGGAGGCCAGGAGGACCGCCACGCTGAATTTATTTTTCCGTCCGATCTGTAACAAGAGGAGGATCATAATTATTAATCATTTCAATTATCAAATTGCTGTTCTACAATTTATCACGTTTTCTTAGATGTTCGCCGAATGATATTATATCGAAATGACATTATTTTTTTCTCTTATGTCTATCTGAAATACGAGAAATAGTTTTTAAGGGTTTCATATTTTGCTGTGTTAGTGCGTGGATGACTATGTTTTTTATGTTTGTTATTTTCAAATGAATTATTCGTTTTTTGTCTAATTTCACTAATTTGTTTGTTATTTTCAAATGAATTATTCGTTTTTTGTCTAATTTCACACTTCAGTTTGTTTCAGAAATAGATAGGAAAGAGGCCAATACATGTATACTATATACTAACACTTTATCTCTCTAAAACCAGAAAATAATACAGAGGTTATATCAAACGCCAATAGAATCACAAAAAAACAAATAAAATAAACTGACCTTGTGTACCAGGACCAAATTACGGAGAGTCTCGTCCTGGAAAAGAGAAAAAGAAATGTGTGATTAAATTATGAACGGAGACACATAAGACCGTCAATCAAAGCATATTTACGAAGAAAAGTGTATGGCGCATTTTTCAGATTTCATTCATAAAAAAAAGATAAATTGTATTTCGTAAATGTGAATGTGAGGATAAGTGTGTAATGCAGAACAGTGTACTATTCAGTGACAATGCCAAAACGTGCATAGAGAACAAAGCATTATTAACAAACGTCATTATACACAATCAAGTACATTATACACTCGCACACACACACACGCATGAAGCTAGACGAAT